TAAAGCTACCAGCCCTTTGCAAATCACTTCCCAATGGAGTCAAAAGAAAGACAGAACCAAAGGGTTTAGGCATGCACCAAAACCGGCCAAGGAGACCCCACCAGCACCACATGGGAGCGGACTAGACTGGGAGACAGTTCATGAGACAGCAGTGAGGATTCGTGGTTCAGATCCTTTACCATGATGCAGGTTTTCCCAGGGAAGCCAGTCTCGTGGGCTTACCAACAAGGGCGATGGGATCAGAGGCACCAAGTGCCTTTGCGGGGAGAAGAATTGTGCTAAGAGGCTTATAACTGAGCCACAACACACAGATGACTCTGTGACTGAAAGCTGAAGCCAGATAGAGTCAGGCTCAGAGGACGCTCATGTTGTTAACAGCACAGGTAATTAGCCACTGGGGATAATTAACAACTTAATTGCCAACTGGGGTTAAACCACACCACCACCAGTGGGGGTATTGAACAAACTTATCCAGGCTGCAGCAGAGTGTCCATCACAAGGAGGCTTTCTTAGAAGGTCTGCCATCGTACTACCTAATCACAGCCCAAGAGAAGTGCTCTCTGGCCCAACTACATCCCACCTTCCTGGATACTGGGGAAGGTGGCAGGGCCAGAAACCCACCCGGGGCCTGGGAGGAGGGTTGGGAGGGACACAGGGTCATCTTCTGCCCTCCACCCTGGGCTCACATCTGCTGACCGACTCTCAGCCACAGCTCCACACCGTGCCTGCACTGCCTTGTTCAGTGCTTAAATATCTGTTCAGGCCCTGGGGAGAACCAGAGCATGCCTGCAGCCCAGGGTGGGAGCCCTCAGTCTGGCAATGCGATCCCAAGAGGTGGGGGGTCCCTGCATTTTGAAGGCAGCTCTGACATTTTACAGGCTCATGGCACTTCTAGTTCCCAAAATACCACTGCAAAGGTGGGCAGAGGACAAAGCATGGCAGACAACCCACCCTCCCCAGGAATCAGAGCACTTGGAAATGCCTTCCCCCTACCTGTTTGTGCATTTCAATATTCAGCCCGTAGGACATCTCGTAATACTGTATAGTGGGGGAGAAGAGAACAAAAGAAATTGTAAGTCAAGTCTCCATCAGGTAAAGAGGCTCCATGCAGCAGTGCTGGGAACTACTACTGCTTTCCTAGCAAGGTCTTCTACAAAGGCTGGGCAAGGATGGAAGGAGAGAAGAAGCTGGCCCTAGGAAACAAAGAGAGCAGGAGGCAAACACAGACAAAGACCCTCTCCAGGTCTGAGGCAGAAGCACCGAGCCCAGGTGCTCCCTGCCCACCCTGCTCCAGCCTCACACTGCTGCAGATGGAGACCTGGGAACTTGCCAACTGGGCCCCATGCGACACCCCTCACAGACACCTTTCAGCAGTCTGCAACAAGGCAAGAGTGAGTGATGCTGCTTCAAACCTGGAAAAAAACTCAGGGCTCCACAGACTTCCATATCCACAGCCAAAAGAGAGGCAGCCTGACTCTACAAGCATTGCCTGGCCAATATCCTAAAGCCTGCATGGCTGCTTCAGCAGCAAATGGAAGTGATCACAACTGGGCTTCATCTAGCAAGTAACACATCCAGCTGCACACAGCTCCAGCTGTTTGGGAAGAAGCTGTGTGGAAAAAAAAGCCACACACAAAAAAACCCACCCAGAAAACCCCCGCACAGCAGCAACAGGCAGCTACAGTGCAATCTATTGGCAGGAGAAGCTAATTCCTGACCCCTGGAAGAAGCTGTTTTAAGGCTGATGTTTGAGTTTACAAATCTCCTCCCTCAGCTTGCAGGCTGCAATCCTCATTCTTCCGAAGGGAAAGAAAAATCCACATCTGCGCCCATTTAATTCAAGGAGATGATCACTGGCGTTTTGGTACTGACACCACAAGTCTGAGAAGCGCCCAGCTTGGTATCGCCACGATCTCAGCCTGCTCTAACACCACTGCTGGCTCTCGAGGCTTCTTTGCATTCTGAAGACTGAGCAGGAAGCAGGAGCTCGACCCCAAGCTGCTAATTGTGACTTATTCAAAAATCGGAGCAGCTGTAGCAGCTTTGCACATTCACAGAAACCCTCCTCTTTGCTTCCTGTGACTCGCTGTGGTGGGGAGCGACAGCAGCTCTGTGCAACTCCAGCTCAGCCACGCAGACAAGGCAGGAGCTGCTGTGCCTGTAAAGCCTCAAGTGCTGCACAACAAGCAATAGCCCTTCCCCTCTGCCGCCGATGGTAACCTGAATCAATTCTGGTGACTGTCAGCATTAAGGGGGGGAAAAAAAAAATATATATCTCAGCTGCACCTGGAGATGAGAGTCTCCATGCAGGCTGCAAGGCCCAGGAAGCAATCATTTATCAGTGAGAATGGGGCAGGCTTCCGCATTAATATACAAGGAAAGCTGTGATCTCTTCTCCTTGGTCCCAGCCCCAAGCACGCCTTGCTCCCCACAGCCTTGGAGTCTGGACACATGGGTAGTACAGGAGGATGGAGGGGCCAGCTCCCTCATTTCTGGTTTTAAAGCCCTAACTCTCCTCTGAAGAGCTGCTGTATTAATTTCTACATCTTATCTCTTCCTTCCAGGGCAGGTGCAGCAGCTGGCAAGCAGGCACCACCTCATCTTTATGGACAGTATCAAAACCTCCTGTTAACTCCTTGATAGGAAAGGAACAGACAACAGCCTTGCCTGGCACCCCTCCCCTCTGCTACAAGGGCTCTTCCACATGTGGGAAGACAGAGGCATTACCTGGTAGGCAAACCATCACCCTGCCTACAAGAACGTGGCTGTTTCCTGGCGGATTTCTCTTTAGAGAGTTATGGCTAAGCCTGCTGCCCGCATGTGGCACTACGTCTCATGCCTTTACCAGGCACTGCCCTGGGATTTGCACACTTTGTGCTGGGACACATGCACCAGTGAGACATGCTAGCACTTTGCACCGTGGCTCTGCAAGGCTGCTGGGGTCACGAGAAGGTGCAGAGGATTTAGCTCTCACACAGCAGCTGATTTCTGCTTCCAACTCCCACCAGGCTTGTGACGTTTCCCAGCTTCATGACTTCTCAGAGCACTGCTTTGTCTTTCACTGGCCATGACTCTCCCGAAGTCCCCAGATGCCTGCACACCAGCACCCTGCAGCTCCTTCTCGGGTGCGTTAAGAGCTGTTACTTCCCCCAACAGGGAGTATGGTCAAGCAGCCAGCCAGTGGCAAGGCCAAGGACCTCATCACCACCCATCAAGTAGTCAGCCACTGGACCCATCAGTTTTCTACATCCAACAATTCTCTGCTACTTCCCTGCATTTCAACAATCCACTGCATGCAGACAACACAAAATATAAAAAAGCCCCGCTTTCAGAAAAGCCAATGCCAGCCTTGCCTAGAGACCTGCCACTCCACAGGGTGAAGGCTCCCTGCCAGCCAAAACCCAGGCACAGGCACCTGCTCACCGCTGGCATCCCCACCCACGTGCTCTTCGCTGCCAGGGCCAGTCCTTACCATGACGTAGTGACGTTGCATCTCCGATTTCTCACTGGCTAGTTTGTCACATTCCAACTTCAAGCTGAAAAGCCAGAAAACAGTAAGAAAACCACAAACAGGAGGTGAGAGAGTTGATCGTCACGGAGCAGCTGCTTCCTGCACAGCCCCATCCCGGCCAAGCTGGCTTCTTGGACACCACCATCCAGATTCCAAGGGGCGGTCGGAGCTGGGCCACGCTGTGCTGGCACAGCAGCGACCGCAACAGAGCCTGCTCCTACCTTCCCAGCCAGAGTCCCACCAACATATTCAGGAGAAGCAGCACAAGGCTACCCACCAGCTAGACATCAACCTCCCCCAGGCAAATCCTTTCGGCAGGAAGCAGAAAGCTGGGCAGAAGCAGAGGTGACTGCCCAGGGAGGGGTTTGCCTTTCCTCAGCTGATTGCTGGCAGCTGCGGACAGCTTCTAGCACAGGCCTGTCTGCAGCACTCAAGAGATGCTCCAATACAACTTCAAAACCAAAGCCAGATCTATTTCTGGATGGTGGTGGGGAGGCCCAAGTGCAGCACATCCCTCCAGAAGAAAGGATTTTTCTCTCTCCCCTAGGTTCTTCACACCCTTCAGAGAAAGTGCTGCTGCTCCCAGTGTTTTACGAGACTCCAACTCACCAGCCGAGCAACTGCAGCCGGCATGTGCTGCGGTTTTATGTTTCAAACAAGAAACAGCTTCACCTACACAAAACCTGCTTCTTCTTGAGCAGATTAAGTCCAAGGGGGTGGAGTGGGGGGATAGCCTCCCTTCCAGCTGGCATGTTTCTTGGGCTCCCCTACTCCCTTGCTGGCACTGCCCAGAGACATGGGGACACCAGGAAATAGCCATTTCCCAGCGGTTTTTCTGCCTGCTCCTGCCAGAACGACACCACCACAAACCTGTGACCCAGCCACCCAGCAGAGCCCAGGCTGGGAGAGGCAGACAGAGCCACCCAGCAGAGCCCAGGCTGGGAGAAGGCAGACAGGGAAGTTGCAGCCGCATGGCACCGAGGCACACGCCACAGACAGTGCCTCACAGCCTGCCGGGCCACGGCAGAGGGCATCACTCAGTCGATTTAACCCAAGAGCTTCACATTTATTTCAGATACGCACACACACAAAGCAACAGACTGTCACAAGCCAGCTTTCGGGTCAGCAGAAGTATTTCCACACACACCCACAGAAAAGCAGAAGCTTTTGGATTTAAGTGCTCCCTGCAGCATTCGCCGTCCAAGAATGGCAGCCAGCAAGAAGAACCGAGGAAAACTCCCAGCAAGACACGGGAGGCCTGGCAAGCCTCCGCGCGGTCCTGGCTGAGCAGTGCTCAGAGGAAAGACCGTGGCTGGAGAGGGAAGATGCATGTTCTCCTAGCTGGGCTCCGAAGTGGACGCAACTAATCCCCTGACTTAGGTCCTCCTCTAGCCAAAGGTGACCTAAGCTACGTGACCAGGTCCCCTCCTTGGCGTTCCGCGCAGCACAGCGAAGCAACGAAGCAGAAGAATCGGAGTGATTCTTGCACGTCGTGCCACTGCCTGTCAGCCCAGCGGAGGCTGCGGGGCAGACCCAGGCCGGGCCCGGTGGCGCACGGGAGCACATACCTGTGGTACTGGGCTTGCAGGAGTTGGAACTCGTCCTTGATGCGGTCGCAGGAGTCGGAGGTCGTGAACTTTAGCTGCTGCGGCAGGTGAGAGGAGCCCT